CATTGACACTTCCGGTGGCTAATTCGATAACATGGGAAGACCTGAAAAACATGTTGATGAAGGAGCACTGCCCAAGGGGCGAGATATAGAAGTTGGAAGAAGAACTTTGGGGTCTCAAAATGACAGGCTCTGACATCCTGGCGTATACCACAAGGTTTAGCGATCTAGCCATGCTGTGCCCCGGGATGGTTACCCCGGAAAGAAAAAAGGTGGAAAGATAAATATGGGGATTATCTCCCCAAGTTCAAGGAAACGTATTGGCCTCAAAGCCAACTACCTTTGACAGTGGCAAACATCTGGCACAGCAACTCATCGACCATAAAGCCAGCCATGGCACTGTGACAACCACCCCCGAGCAAGCGAAAGGGGGAAACAACAAAAAGGAAGTTCTGGAACAAGAAGAGGAGTCAACCTGCTCAAGACCCTGCCAAAAAGCAACAAATGGTTGATGTCCACGCTTCCACAACCACTGCCACCCCAACTCCGATAAGGCAATACGCCGGGAACCTACCCAAGTGTAACAAGTGCAACTTTCACCACAACAGCGCATGCCGTGAAATGCATTGCACCAACTGCAACAAAAAGGGGCACACCGCTTGATTTTGTAAAGCTCTACTCCAACAAAACGCACAAGCTGCCAACGCCAGAGCAAATCGAACCTGCTATGGTTGTGGAGAAGCAGGACACTTCAAGCGGAACTGCTCGAAGGCAAGAGACCCCAACTCTGGTGAAGTGGGCAGAGTTCTAGCGATAAGTCATGAGGAAGCAGCTGCAGATCCAACTGTGGTCACCGGTACATTTCTCCTCAACAATACATACGCATGCATTCTTTTCGATAGTGGCACGGAGAAAAGCTTTGTGAGCCATCAATTTAAATGCTTGCTTAAACAAAAACCACAAACACTAAAAGACACATTCACCGTAGAAATGGCTAACGGAAAAAAACATAGAACACTAACGACACTTACACCGGGTGTACCCTCACCTTAAACAATCACTCTTTCCAAATCGACCTTATGCCAGTCACCATAAAAAGTTTTGATGTCATCATTGGCATGGATTGGTTATGCCTACACCATGCTGAAATCCTATGTCATGAAAAGGTCGTTCGCCTTAATCTGCCAAATGACGAAATCCTCGTCGTCTATGGCGACAAAACTAGCTCAAACTTTCAAATAATCTCTTGTGTCAAGGCTCAAAAGTATCTCCGCAAGGGGTACCACGCCTTCCTAGCCCACGTCGTGGACAAGAACCAAGAAGTGAAAAACATCAAAGACATTCTGGAGGTCTGTAATTTCCCCGACATATTCCCGGAAGACCTTCCAGGAGTGCCCCCTACTCGACAAGTCGAATTTCGAATCGATCTAATTCCTGGAGCTACCCCTGTAGCCAAATCGCCATACCGTCTAGCCTCAGCCGAAATGCAGGAATTGTCCAGTCAATTGAATGAACTGCTAAGCAAAGGTTTCATTAGGCCAAGCTTCTCACCTTGGGGAGCACCGGTCTTATTCGTCAAGAAAAAGGATGGATCGTTCCGTATGTGCATTCACTACCGTGAATTAAACAAACTCACCATTAAAAACTAATACCCTTTGCCTCGAATCGATGACCTCTTTGACCAGCTACAAGGAGCAAGTTTCTTCTCAAAGATTGACCTTAGATCAGGGTACCATCAACTACGAGTTCAAGAGGAGGATATTCCCAAGACATCCTTCAGAACGCGCTATGGTCACTACGAGTTTGTAGTGATGCCTTTCGGCTTAACAAATACACCTGCAACGTTTATGGACCTGATGAATCGGGTGTGTCGACCTTGCTTAGACAAGTTCGTGATTGTTTTCATCGATGATATACTAGTCTACTCCCGAAGTGAGGAAGAACACAACCAGCATTTACGTCAAGTCCTGCAGATACTGATGGCGGAGAAATTATACGCAAAATTCTCAAAGTGCGAGTTCTGGATTCGAGATGTGAATTTCCTCGGACATGTAGTCAGCAAGGAAGGAATACATGTGGACCCTTCAAAGATCAAGGTAATTGAAAGCTGGGTAGCACCAAGAGCACCCACATAAATCCGACAATTTTTAGGACTCGCCGGTTACTATCGAAGATTCATTTAAAACTTCTCCAAAATCGCAAAACCACTCACCACCTTGACTCAAAAAGGAGTGACTTTCGTCTGGGGGGATAAGCAAGAGGCTGCGTTCCAAACACTGAAACAAACTCTGTGCAGTGCTCCGATCTTGTCCTTACCGGATGGAACAGAGGACTTTGTGGTTTATTGCGATGCATCAAACCAAGGTCTAGGATGTGTGTTGATGCAGAGGAAAATCATTGCCTACGCCTCAAGACAGCTGAAGACGCACGGGGTAAACTACACGACGCACAATCTCGAACTGGGAGCAGTAGTTTTCGCCCTAAAAATATGGAGACATTACCTCTACAGCACCAAGTGCACCATCTTCACTGATAACAAAAGCCTTCAGCATATCCTAAATCAAAAAGAGCTCAACATGAGGCAAAGACGATGGGTGGAATTACTAAATGATTACGAATGTGAGATTCGTTATCACCCCGGAAAAGCCAATGTGGTTGCAGACGCTTTGAGCAGAAAGGAATACTTGGGCCGCCGAGTAAAGGCGTTAACCATGACCATCCATTCACACCTGTCTGCATAAATCAAAGAGGCACAGGAAGAAGCCTTAAAACACGAGAACATGGCAGGTGAAGCGTTGAAGGGAATGGACAAAAATCTTGAAGTTAGGGATGACAGGGTTCGTTGTCTCATGAACCGGATCTGGACACCAAAATTTGGTGGATTCAGGGACATTGTCATGAATGAAGCTCATAAAACTCGTTACTTTGTGCATCCCGGTTCAGACAAAATGTACTTAGACCTCAAGAAGCTGTATTAGTGGCCGAACATGAAAGCTGAAATAGCTACCTTTGTGGGCAAGTGCCTGACTTGCGCCAAGGTTAAGGTGGAGTATCAGAAGCCCTCGGGACTACTTCAACAGCCAGAGATACCCGAGTGGAAGTGGGAGCGGATTACAATGGATTTCATTACAAAGTTACCTAAGACAACGGGTGGACTTGACACCATTTGGGTAATCGTCGACAGATTAACCAAATCCGCACAATTCCTACCAATAAAAGAAACAGACAAAATGGAGAAACTGACAATGATCTGCATTAAAGAGGTTGTGCGACTTCACGGAGTACCGATATCCATTATCTCCGATAGAGATCGTCGGTTCACGTCACGATTCTGGTAGTCACTGTAGAAATCTATGGGAACTAGACTGGACATGAGTACAGCCTACCACCCACAGACCGACGGGCAGAGTGAAAGGATCATCCAAACGTTAGAAGACATGTTAAGAGCTTGTGTGATAGACTTTGGTAAATCTTGGGATGCTCATTTACCCCTTATCGAATTCTCATACAATAATAGTTATCATACTAGCATCAAAGTTGCTCCGTTCGAAGCCCTCTATGGCCGTAAGTGCAGATCACCCCTGTGCTGGGCTGAGGTGGGCGATACGCAACTAGCAAGAGGGCAAGTTCCTAACAGCGCACTCACTGTCCTGGAGATCATAAGGGAAACAAAAGAAAAGATCGTCCAAATTCGAGAACGAATGAAGGCTTCGCAAGACCGACAAAAGAGCTACGCAGATAAGAGACGGAAGCCATTGAGTTCCAAGTTGGGGATCGAGTACTACTGAAAGTATCACCTTGGAAGGGATTAATACGTTTTGGAAAATGTGGGAAACTAAATCCAAGGTATATCGGAACATTCGAAATCCTCGCCAGGATTGGCCCGGTAGCATACAAGCTACGATTACCACAGGAACTCAACAACGTTCACCTAACCTTTCATGTGTCGAACTTGAAGAAATGTTTGTCTGATGAGACCCTTGTCATTCCTTTGGAAGAAATTGAGATCAATGAGAACCTCCACTTCGTAGAGGAACCTGTTGAAATCATGGATCGAGAGGTCAAATCGACGAAACAAAGCCGCATTCCCATCGTAAAGGTCCACTGGAACGCCAAGCGAGGACCCGAATTTACATGTGAATTACATGTGATTAATATGTGAATTACATGTAATTTACATGTGAATCACATATAATTCATATGTGATTAACTTGTGAATAACATGTAATTCATAAGTAATTCACTTGTAATTTACATGTGAATCACAAATTAATCATATGTGAATTACATGTAAATCACATGTAATTTGTATGTGAGTTACATGTTATTTACATGTGAATCACATGTAATTCATATGTGATTCACTTGTGATTTACACGTGAATCACATGTAATTCATATTTACATGTGAATCACAAGTGAATCATATGTGAATTACATGTGATTAAAATGTGAATCACATGTGAATCATATGTGAATTACATGTTATTTACATATGAATCACATGTAATTCATATGTGATTCACTTGTGATTTACATGTGCATCATATGTAAATTACATGTGATTTACATGTGATTTACATGTGAATCACATGTAATTCATATGTAAAGTTTGCAACCAAAATACTTCAATAAAATTATATTTTCATTTATATATTATACTAACGGATTAGTTTATTGGTCACCGAATCAGAAATCAATGATGGAACAAAAATATCCCAAAGATTAATTAAAATATACCTCTTTCCTCAATTTTAAAATCCAAACGAAAATGACTGTTATACTTTGATGAGACATTTAATCTTATAGGAATTCTAATTTTTGGAGCATCAAGGTCAATATCAATAGCAAATCTGCAAATGCAAGAAGAAATGCAGGAAATTAGCAAACTTTTTTTTTGTAATAGTTTTATCAAAGAGCAAGATATTAGTTTCTCATATATATAGTTGAATTTAGTAAAATTCATCCAACTATACCTGCAAAGTAGTTGCTGTTTCATAAGCAACTTTAGGGCTAACAAAATTGTTCTTCTTCATAAATTCCAGAAAATGGAAGGAATTACATTCATTCAAGAATCGTCCATTCCAATGGAATGATACATTCTGCAAGAAGAAATACAAGAAATTAGTAAATCTTTTTTTTTTGTAATAGCTTTATCAAAGAGCAAGATATTAGTTTCTCATATATATATATATATATATATATATATATATATATATATATATATATATATATATATATATATATATATATATAGTTTAATTTATTAAAATTCATCTAACTGTACCTGCAAAGCAGTTGCCGTTTCATAAGCAACTTTAGGGCTAACAAAATTGATCCTCTTCATAAATTCCAGAAAATGGAAGGAATTACATTCATTCAGGAATCGTCCATTCCAATGGAATGATACATTCCATTCCTTCTCCATCATACCAAGACTGAGCTCTTTGACGGTTGCATAGATCCTACATGGCATTTTCCTTACAATCTTCGTGATCATGTAGTATACACCAAAACAAGACCCCACTGCAGCCATTGCCAAATGGGTGTCTTTCGTGCTCTGAAAAAGATAACACAAGACTTAGATATAAGCAAGTAAAACATAGAATTCATTAAATCATGAACCACTTTTGGAAATATGAGTTTAATTAATGAATATAGTAACCTACCAGGATAATACATGTGACTGCAACTCCAACATCAACTTCTCCATCTTCAGAAATAATATATTTCCTCACCAGCCAATATCCGAAACCAGCTCCTAACAAAATGATTCCAAGCACCACAAAAACAGAAACCTACAAGGTTAAATAAACTTTTCTGTAAGATCAATAGATTATAATTCTAAACCGTAAAGTAACCAATAGTGTAAAAATGAGGGACTTACTGGGTTCTGGACTTCTTAACTTATCCCAAAGTTTTGGAGAAATGAATTCAGAAATGCTAAGAGGCTATGCACCACAAAAGATCCTGCTCCAAGCTGGAAAGATTACAGAATACAAAGCAAAAAATAAAACATTTTAGAAACCACAAAAGATACTTGGTGTCCCAAATCCTGTATATGAGTTGTTGCTATCAACATAGATGAACTGTAAGGGAGAAGAAACTTACTACTGTGGACATTATACCAAGGTAAAATGCATTTCTCCTACCAGTTGGTAGTAATTTCCTTGCCTGGTCAACAATAAAGATAATATAATTAGAAAACAATTAAAGATATTGCTAAAAATGGCAGTACACAAACAGAAGAAAATATATGTCCTTTTCTACAGTCTACTGGTAAGAGAGAGAGACGTACCTGATAGAGTAATATGAGAACAACAACTAGAACTCCAATAGCCATGGAACTGGTGTAGTAAAAGGGGACCCATTCGCTGATAAATGGTGCCAAAAACAGTAAAACAAATCCCACAGCTAGCAAGTAACTTGTGATTCTGGAAAGACATAATAAATTCAGCAACCTGGAAGAATATAACAACATCGCTGTTTTCAATAGCATGGTGTTCTTTCTCAATATCCTCACGAATTGACTGCATTAACACTATTGAGAATACATATGGACTGATTAGTAATGAGTAATGACACCACGGATAACAACAGATAGCTTCATTGAGAATACAATAATTACCATTATACCCTTCTAACAGGAACTGATTAGTAAAATCATGGAGCAACCGAAGGATATTCTTGTTTGTTGTTGGCATTCTTCTACTCTCCCATGACATCTTTTTTTTGATGAATCACACTGGTTTTTATGACCTTTAAGCAATGAATCATGAGAATCAGAACAAGCGTTTCCTTTAACTAAAACTTTGGAACCATCCTATATATAAAGCCAATTGATGAAGTTAGTAATGAATATCTGAATGGATCCACAGCTAAATGAAAAGCTTTTACCATAGTAATTCGGGTGAATGATCCACTGAACTTTGATCGAGCACCAATATTTAAAGGCATTGTTTGCCTTCTTTTTCTTTTTATAATTAAACCTAGTCGTTCACTGTAGTGAACTTGAAATGCTAAATTCGAGTAATGAGCAACAAAGATATTGCACATGAGAATGAACTTACTGGAGACGGAGTGGATGATGACATGACCTAAACGGAAACACCACCGCATTTTGTGGCTAAGAATTCAGATTCGAAGGATCCTGCATTTTAACGATCTGCGTAGAGTCTTCACCTTACTTGATGCAATGAATACGGAGACAATTGACGGAGGAGACGATGGATTTCGGACTCTGGTTATGGATTTTGGATCGACACCGCCATCGGTGCGGTGAGTTCTGGAATGCGATGAAGATGGAGATTTATGTAATAGCAAAGGAATACAGGTAATCAAAATTACAAAGATCCATTAATAAATCATAAATAAATAATCAAAAGATAATCAACGATTTCAAAATAGCTTCAAGAAACACAATCAACATGAGGCATTAGATTCTATCGAACCTGAGTTGATTTACGACTGCTTCTGATTGCTGTAATGCATACCAAATTCACTAAACTATATTGATTTAGAGGACAGAGATCGACCACAACATTCAAATCGAAACAGAAGGCGAGAAATCGATTCTGATTTGCAGATGGAGGCGATCGGATGAGATGGAGACGGTTGGTATCTGCGATCCGTGAGCTTAATCGATTTTTTTCGATTAATGATGAATTATCGATGCTTGACAGAGATGAGAGGGAGGCTGAAGGATCTTCGGCGAATAGAATGGTAGGTCGATGTATGAGTGGTCTTCTACAGACGTATGGATGAAGGAGAAGAGACCGCACCTTCAAGGGAGTCGAGATGATCGACAACAACGAATCCTAGACGGTGTTGGTCGTTGATACAGGTAGGGGTGGGCGTTGGAGGCGGAGACGAAGGTGGAGGAAGGTGCCGATGGAATTAGGGAGGAGGTCGATGGAGTCAGTGAAGAATCGGGAAAAGGGAATGATCGATAGAGAGAGAGGGATCTGATATGTTTATTTGGGTTTATCCCTAAAATGTCCTTATGTTATTTTTTTAGGTACCCTTCCGTGTTTTTTACCCAATTATTTACAAAAATGCCATAAAGGATCTTAGCCTTTAATTTTTTTAATCCAAATGTCCACTTTTAGTTCTCAGGTTCTCGGGAAATTATGAGATCTCAAATGATCATTCCTCTATATATATATATATATATATATATATATATATATATATATATATATATATATATTTTTCCAAAGTTGGCATTTTATATTTTACTAGCCCAAGATTCAAATGCACAATTACTTAAATATAACCCAACAAGAGATAGCTTAATACAACATAAAATTAAATAAAGAATATAAATGAAGAAAATAAAATAAAAAATAAACATTGATTCATTTAAATAGTAAACGACGTGGTTTTATAGTCTACACTCATTAATAGTTAAAAATCTGACCGGTTTTAACCGGTAAATGTGCACCAATAGCTTCTAGCGACTTTTTGCATGATATTGTAAGATTAATTGGACTTGTTCCCTCTTATCTAAATGGTTTTGCCTTCTAAACCCAACGGAGGAACGCTTTTCCAACCATTTACTAATTAAATTTCGAACATATAACATAAATAACAATTCTCTTATTTAATACAATGCTTATCCTGCGTCACAAGCTACCACATAGCTTTAATACACAAATACGTGAAGAGATATCCGTTTACACAACAAATGTATACTTCCTTACACACATACAATAAAGTTTATCTCTCATATAATATTGTTCGAGTATGCATATGAGCATGTGTCGATCAAACCCTCTTTAATTGATCAACGGTTTCTTAACAAACTCCCTAGATATCGTATAATCTTCTGGTACGGGAAGATCAAGTTCAGAGCAAACAAATCGGATTACCTCTGCGGTGGCTAAAGCCTTGAAAGACATCTTGTTTATCATCACAGAAATAGAAAACCGATTGTGTATGTCACCATATCCTGTCGAACCACCTAAACCCGCATGACCAAACCCGATCACCAAACCCTCGGCTGATTTAATCCTCTTAAACCCAAGCCCAAATGTCCCATCCGGTAAGGCAAAATCCTTAAAATCTCCAGTTGCCAGGAACGCGTCATGAATTTTCGATTTAGGGTTTTTAAAGATTTTAGTCACGGCGGTTGTATGGCTGTCGGTGGTTGAGGAATGGGGGGAAGGGATGGCGCCACCGTCCACAAGGGCGGCATAGTAGCGGGCCAAAGCACGGGCCGAGAAGTTTCCATTGCCAGCAGGTTGTATGGCACGGCGGAAATCAAGCATGTTGGTTAGATTAACCAGAGAGGGAAGCACCGATGGCCCAAGGGTGGCAGGCATGGCGCCATAAGGTTGTTTATCAACCGGGGGTGCAGCGGTAGGAGGAGGAGGAGGACTACGAAATTCACTTGTATCAAATGCAGAAGTTACCAGACGAGATTCCACACCTGAATTGTGCATAACAATGAAATTTCTTATCAACTATCAAACAAATTCAAGGTCATAATACATAATACATAAAAGCACTTGTTTAATCTTTATAGAAACTAGTTATGTGACTAGAGTAGAAAATGGTAGAACTCAGATTTATTGAGTAACATTTTTGTCAATCTCACCAGGAGGAATCCCAATATAAAGCTCGCCCTCCAGATTAAGTGGGCGTACAAAAGCTTCTTCAAGAACATCCTTGAACTTCTTCCCAGATGCATGCTGCACGTTTTAAAAAACGTATACATCAATGAAAGTAGAGAAGTATATCAAAATTTCTTCATAGAAGATGCATGTAATGGTACCTCAATGATACCACCACATAACCAGCCATACGACATATAATGATATATCTGTTCACAACCAGGTTCTGTCTCAGGTGAGGCCATTGCAATGCGTTTTACACACTCCTCCCAATTGCACAATGACACGTGATCCCCAATAATGTCAGAAAGAGCATTGTGCAGGCCGGATGTATGATTTAGTATATGATGAACCTACAGGAGAAAGGAAAGGTGATCGATGTCGCCCTTCTATTCCAAAGTTATAGAGAAAATCTAGAATGGAATGTAACCAAATAAACTAACTGTCCTAGATATCTTTGCTATTAAACTAAGATTTATGGTATATGTTTGATAATTAGGGTTAGGATAAACAATATCTGCTAGGTGGCTGCATAAGAACCAATTCCCTACCTTTATCTGATCCTTTCCATTTACAGCAAACTCCGGCCAAAAGTTTGCCACATTATCATCAAGTTTCAGTATCCTACAATGAAAATGCATATTATGTTTATTTCCTTCCATTCCATAATATGATACCATATATAGCACCCCTTATGAGTGTTAAAAATAAATATCGAATTGACGAAAATACCCCTTATCCGCCAGCCAATGTATCATCCCTGCGGTGACGCCCTTAGTTGCAGAGAAAACAGGAAATAAGGTATCGGGCTGAACTGGACGAGGGTCATCTGCTCCCATGACTCCAGCTGCAGTATCAATGATCACTTTCCCATCTTTGTATGCACAAACCTATGAAACAGAATAATCAAAGTTTTTGTAAAATACAATCACAAAACGTATAATGTCTATTGCATTGATGAAAGACAGAGAGTCTGTCATTGTAGTCTAATGCACACCAAAACTAAGTAAAAGCAATATGCTAAACCAATTATATTGGAGGAGTGGTATGCACCTGGATTCCAAGTATTTTATCAGCATTCCCTAATTCAACCAAAAGGTCCCGCAGCTTGGCTTCTACATCGGAATGGATAGGACTGTCACATAACCATTTTGTAGCTGTGGATGTTCCTTTATTCATGTTGCTGAAACAAAAATAGCTAGTAAAGTAGGGTTCGTATAGATATGAGCAACTGTGATTAAGGAATTAATAGCCACCGGTTACAACAGAGCAAAATCATACCTTATGAGAACAGATTTAGGAAAAGGGCTGATGGTATTTAGATAAAATGGCTATCGCTGATCGGGGATGAAAAGCGGAAATGATGTGAAATTCTTATAAAGATTGATCTTTCCAACAACGTTGGGTCGGAAATGAACTTTGCGATTAAAACGTTGAACATCTTTTCTTGTAAGTTCCATCTATTTTTGTGAACTTTCATATATTTTGCTCTTCGCTCTCTGCCACATATCTCATGCTTTACTAAAACAAAAAGCAATTTGGCATTATATATTCATATACTCCTCTACCGACATAAAATTTCCCTTACCTATAAGGTATTATTATTATTATTATTATTATTATTATATACCGACAAAAATTTTCCCTACCTATTAGTTTTTTATTTTTATATTATATAGATATTATTAATAAATTAAGACAATTATATATCATATTAATATTTTTAAAGTAATAGTGATAAAAGTTGATATGAGACCATATTATATATTATATTATAATAATACTTTATAAATCTTTTTTGTATATATATATATATATATATATATATATATATATATATATATATATATATATATACTTAATAATTTCACTTTATCAACTATCTTTTTTGTATATTTTCAATTGTTTTTAGTATATATATATATATATATATATATATATATATATATATATATATATATACTAAAAACAATTGAAAATATACAAAAAAGATAGTTGATAAAGTGAAATTATTAAGTATATATACTGAATGGTGTAATATCAACTTTATTTAATGGTCTCATATCAACTTTTATCACTATTACTTTATATATATATATATATATATATATATATATATATATATATATATATATATATATATATATAAAAGAGCGAATGAGGATTTAATTTCGGTGAGGACAGTGAGGAGTAATCGCGGTTGTTCATCTAAAAAACGAAGGGCAATGATTTTTAGTATTTTATTTTTATTTTAATTAAAACCGGTGTTGACATTTTTGAAATTATCTCCAACTTTTTGGTATGTACCTGCAAAGGTAAATCTTTTGAGGACATGATCGTCAATTGCAGTTTAGAAAACTCTGGTCGCTATTTCACTCCTTTTCCCCCATTATTCATCCTTTTTATTCGTCGTTTGTCATCGTAGTCAGCAAGTAATCGATCGTTTAATCGATCGTTTAATCATTCGTTCGAGCTCAACATATTGTTCAATTCTTCGTTGTTAATTTTCGTCGTTGTCTTCTTGTTGTTATGGGAGCAGGTAACGACATACGATCACAGAGCGGGATATCCAATCCAATGGGACGACCTTGGTGCTTTCGACCCATAAGTACAGTGTGGAAGACTCACCTCTCATTTTGAACAATAGTTGATGAAGTCCCAACTCCGAATCTCAGCTCTAACTGCAACCTATCCATCCAAATGACCAATTCTCAACCACAATCCTAAAATTCCCAAAATACCCGTAGGTCAAACTTAGTCAAAATTAGGTAAAATTCAAAATTCCAAAAAGTCAACCGAGTCAACCCAGCTGAGTACGATGTACGCCCAACGTACATGTTGGTTGACCAGGCACGAGCCTGTTTAGCACGTACGTGCAGCGTACGCCTTGAACGCCCAACGTACGTAGCTGGCTGCCAACCCAACTCATTAAGGACTTAATCCTTAAGCTCTTAAGCCCATTTTCCAGATCCAAGCCCAAAATAATGTCATTGACCATAAAGTTTCCAACTTTATGGTATTGCATGGCCTCTAAGTGCTTAATGTCCAAAACCCTATGTTCTTAACCCATTAAGACCATCTAACAAATGCATGGGTTACATACAACACTCAAGATCATTTTTTATGGTTCATACTAGTTCCATAATGGATAAAGTTTCCAACTTTATTCATTAGAATGGTCCCAACAAACAAGATCTAGTCTTTAAGTCTCAAAGGGACCCAAAAAGTGCATCTTCTCAACTTAATACATGAAGTCTAAGTCTCTAATCTTCAGATCTTAATCAAAATGATGTTTAGATGGATAAAGTTTCCAACTTTATCCATAACAAGGTCACAAACTTTTAAGATCTAAACTTTATGCACTTAAAGTGACAAAAAGCTCTTAACACTCAAAACTAGTTAGATCTAACAATTTCATCATCAAGATTCAAAATTTATACCTCTACAAGAAAGATCAAGGTGAATAAAGCCTGGATCTACAAGCTCCAATGCAACCAACCCTTCTTCCATGAGTTCCTTCTTTTCCAAGGTGCACCAAGAACACTCCAAAATACTTAAAAGCACCTTCTTTTTGCTCACAAAGTTCAATCGAGGGTTAGGCTTTCAGGATAGGGTGTTGGAGAGGTGGAGGCTGAGAATGGAATGAGTTTGGGGAAGTTTAGGAGCTTAAATAGGGCTCAAACCACAAAAATAGGGTTTGGGCACTGATCGCATACGTCTTGCGTACTTAATTTACGCCCAGCGTACTCAAGCATACTTACTACGCCCAACGTACTCAATTTATGCCCAACATACTAGGGATGGCCTAGTACGCCCAACGTACTCCCCTTACGCCCAACGTACTCCCCGTACGCCCGCGTACGCGGCTGACCCAAAAATCGTCGTAACTTCAAACGACCGTAACTTCTTCGTCCCAACTCCGTTTTCGACGTTCTTTATATCCACGGAAAGGTATTGAATAACTATACAATATTATCTAAATATCTTGGACTAAAAACTTTTTGAACAAAAATTCATATTTCATGCAAGAACACGGCCTATGACTTTTCCCTTTTTACCCTTCGGCCCATAACACAATTCAATGGTAAAATCTCTTAACTATCATTACCTCCATGGCTCAGAGGAAACATGATGTTACAAGGAATTTAATTCATGATAGTCTTAATTCACTACTTACTTCCAAAAGTACAAACGACTGTGGAATTTGAATAATCAAATTATTCGGGAACTAAAACATGCAAAATGAAACACACTAATAAACAATTGACAAAAGGTAGTAAATAAACTCATAAATAATTCTCTATTATTTAATCTTCAAAAGTCAATTACATTTACTTTGTTACAAGTTTCAAACTAACTATCTAACTACTAAAACTAATACCATCTCTCAGACCAATGCTCCTAGCATGTTGAATGTGTTTAACCCTACTCAGACCCTTTGTGAGTGGATCTGCAAGATTCGCTTTAAATGACACCCTCTTTACAACGAGGTGACCTTCTTCTACTCTATGTCTAATGAATCGGTATTTTCTGTCGATATGTCTATATCTGCCATGATCTCTTGGTTCCTTTGTCAAGGAAACCGCTCCTTCATTATCACATAAAAATTCCATTGGCTTCTTGATGGCTGACACAACTCCAAGATCTCCGATGAAGTTCTTCAACCAAATTGTTTCCTTAGAGGCTTCGCTTGCCGCTATGTACTCTGATTCATAGGTAGAATCAACCACTCTCTCTTGCTTGGAGCTTTTCTAAGTAACTGCTCCTCCATTCAAGGTAAACACCCGGCCAGAATGAGAATAAAAGTTGCCTCTCTCTGTTCGAAATCTGGCATCACTATACCTAGTTACTCTCAATGTATCACTGCCATCAAGCACTAGGACCCAGTCCTTAGTTCTTCGCAGATACATGAGAATATTCTTAACTGCTATCTAATGAGCTTTACCCAGATTTCCCTGATAAAGACTGACCATGCTCAAAGTAAAAGACACATCAGGGAGAGTATATGTTATAGCATACATGATAGATCTAACTGCATAAGCATATGGAGCTTTACTCATTTCTTCTATCTCAACATCGGTACTCGGACTCTACGTCTTACTCAGTTTGGTATTATTCTGGATGGACAGTTCTCCCTTCTTGGAATTTTCCATACTAAAATATTTTAGCACCTTTTCCAAGTAAGTACTTTGGCTAAGTCCAATTAGTTGTTTACCCTTGTCTCTCAGAATCCTTATCCGTAGAATATAGGCTGCCTATTCTAGATCCATCATAGCGAAACACTTTTCAATCCAAGATTTAACTTTTTGCAAAGTTTGAATGTTTTCCTATAAGCAGTATGTCATCAACATATAATACCTGGAAGGTTACTATACTCCCACTAGCTTTGACATATAAACAATACTCATCCTCATTTAGAATCCAAACTCCTTGATCTTCTCGTCAAAGCAAAGATTCCATCTGCAAGAAGCTTGCTTCAATCCATAGATTGATTTCTAAAGCTTATACACTCTATTTGGATACTCCGCGTCTACAAAGCCGTCAGGCTGACTCATGTAAACATCATCACCAAATTTCTAAAGCTTAGAATCCAAACTCCTTGACCTTCTCGTCAAAGCAAAGATTCCATCTGCAAGAAGCTTGCTTCAATCCATAGATTGATTTCTAAAGCTTATACACTCTATTTGGATACTCTGCGTCTACAAAACCGTCAGGCTGACTCATGTAAACATCATCACCAAATTTCCATTAAGGAAAACGGTTTTGACATCCATATGCCAAATTTCATAATCATGAAACCCATCTATGGCTAGCATACCTTAATAGATTTTATCTTAGCCACTGGTGAGAAGGTCTCGTCATAGTCAACCCCTGGGGTTTGAGTAAAGCCCTTCGCAACCAGTCAATCTTTGAAGGTGTGTACCTTTCCATCCATGTCGGTCTTCTTCTTGAAGATCCATTTGCACCCAACTGTATTTCGACCTAGTACATTATCAACCAAATTCCAAACATGGTTGTCCTACATGGACTTGATCTTACTGTCCATTGCCTATTTCCATTTGGCTGCCTCAGGGCATACCATTGCTTCCTTGTAGTTAACAGGTCCATCCAAATTTACCAGTGTACTATCACTGATAAACATATCACCATCTGTAGTTATATGGAAACCATAGAACTTTGGTGGCATGCTGACTCTACTGGAACGCCTAAGAGGTAATGACTTGTCAACTGGTTCAACTGGAATCTCTTCCTTTGGGTGAAACCTAGCGTCTTCAGAGGTTCCTTCATCGTTTGACTCTTGAATCTCTTCAAGATCAATGGTACTCCCACTATTCTCTTTGCGTATGAGCTCTCTTGCGAAAGACTCCTCTTCGTTCTACAAAGACCATGTTCTCACTAGGTCTATAGAACAAATATCTAAAGGACTTCTGTGGGTCGTTGAAAATACATCTCTCACTTCGAGGTTCAAGCTTTCCGTGAGTCTTTCGTCTAATGAAAGCTTCACAACCCCAAACCTTGATATGTGCTAACGAGGGAACATTCCATGTCTGCATCTCGTGAGGTGCTTTGGCAACCTTCTTAGTTGGGAAAAGATTAAGAATATGGGTGACAGTCTCTAAGGCATACCCCTCGAATGAGATTGGAAGAGAAGCTTGACTCATCATGCAACAAACCATGTCTAACAAGGTTCGATTGCGTCTCTCAGCCACACCATTAAGTTGTGTTGTTCTTGGAGGGGTCAATTGTGAAACTATTCTACATTCCTTGAGGTAGTCATGGAACTCGATACTAAGATACTCTCCGCCTCTATCTGATCGGAGCATCTTTATCTTCCTGCCCAATTGATTCTCGACTTCTTACTTGAACTCTATGAACTTTTCAAAGTTTTTTGACTTATGTTTGATTACGTAGATATAACCATATCTTCTATAATCATCAGTAAAAGTCACATAGAATCAATTAGTATCCCTTGTGGATGATCTGAAGGGCCCACACACATCTATGTGTATGAGATCCAACAAACCTTCACCTATTCACAAGATCCAATGAAAGGTGATTTTGTCATCTTACCCAAAAGACAATATTCGCATGTATCATCTGACCTTAGGTCAAATGATTCCAACACTCCATCCTTTTGGATTTGGGCGATGCATTTCTTGTTAACGTGTCCACACAAACATGCTTTGTCTATACCATTAGACAAATCAATTTGAAACACACTATTATCTAAATTTTCTACACACATCACAGTTTCATACACACCATCACAAGGTAAAGCTTCAAAATAAAAAAACATCATTTTTATTAGAAGAAATTGAACCATTCAAATCATTAAAACCATATCTAAAGCCTTGTCTAAAGAATGCATGAAAAGGAATAATGCTTATTGTCATTTCTGACGAGTAGCAACAATTCAATAAATCTAAACTAACACAATCACTAAGCACTAGACTATAAACTCCAATCTTGGTAACAGGCTAAGATCGCCTATTTCCCATGATGAAGTTCATTCTACCATTCTCCACGTCCTCACTTCTTCTTAGCCCCTGCAAATCAGAACAAATGTGAAATCCACATCCTGTATCAAGGACTCAAGAACGAAAAGATGATGAGTTATTAGATGAGATAGTGTATATACCTGCAGAAGTCGGCTTCACCTTGCCATCTTTAATGTCTTGCAGATACTTTGGTCAGCTTCATTTCCAATGCCCTTTATCATTGCAGTAAAAGCAGGTGGCCTCTTTAGGATCATAGACAGGGGGAGCATCAGAACCGAATTTACCTTTGGGTCCACTGCTTTGACGACCCATCATGAGACTTTCCCTTCCAGTTTTGATTTGGAGTGCCTTTCCTCTTTTTCTCTTTTCCTTGACCAATGGCCAGAACTAGAGTACTAGCAGGAGTGGAGGCAATACTCTTTCCCTTCATTCTTGTTTCATCTGTTCGCAGGAGGTTTTGCAATTGAGAAAAAGTGGTCTCATTGTTGTTCAAATGATAGGTCAAGATGAACTGATCATAACAACTTGGTAAGGAGTTCAAGATTATGTCAATAGCCAAATCCTCATCAAGATTCACATTTAGCTTAATGAGGTAATCCACGTATCGTTGCATCCTCTACATGTGGCTGCTAACAGATTCTCCATCTTTCATCATGCTTGTCATGAGTGACTTTACCACCTCATACTTTTCTTGACGAGCTCACTTATGGTACTTTTCCATAAGGTCCTTGTTCGTCTCGTACGGCCAGTAATCCTCATAGAATCTTTGCAACTCAGGAGTCCTTGTTCATCTCATACGGCCAGTAATCCTCATAGAATCTTTGTCCTCGAAACGAACGACCATCTTGATGTTATGCATCCAACCATTATAGTTAGTGTCATCCAATGTCACCCTTGAGCAAATGTTTAGCAACGAGAAGTTTTGATTGGATGAGGAGGAACCAGAAAAATCATTTGGAGTAGACATCTATAAAAGAAAGGTAGTTTTAGTTAGATAAGAATAATCCTTAATATAACAACCCAAAAATGAAGTATTAAAGCTAGGATCCAACTATATAATTCACAACATAGAAGAAGGATGTCATAATGTAATTGCAAATTTATAAAGGTAGGTAAATGACGATTTACCAAGTCCACCAATAGAAAACGAATTTTGAAAGAAATTAAGTTAAGTGAAATTCCTAGATCTTTTGAGATTCATTGCAACTATTCAATGACATGTTTAATCTCATATTAGGCTCTTTCATTTGTGACTGGGATACCGAGGATCACAAACAAGATGTGAATAACTGTGCAAATTAGCTTGATACTCTCGATGTCATTTATCATCTCATTTTAATCTATCGGTTAGCCACACGCGCTCCATTAATCAATGATAATTTTTGAGACACCCGTTACCACTCCTTATTAGTCCCTATTACTGTGCCGGTTACCCGCACACGCTCCACTAACGACTTATAAAGTGTAATGTGCAATTTCATGGATTAGCATACAAATTCATATTTTTCCTAAAGTAACTAAGATTGGGATTTTCAAAAAAAAGGTTTAGTTACTTTTAATTCATTATATTTATTAATGAGAACTAATTATCCTATTAAACTCGTTCAGCTAACAACTCTCCACCACACAAGAGAACGGTGGGTGAATGTGGACACCCATTCAACGACCATTTTATAGGCCACTTCCTTATACCCTCTTTATAACATGGTTTCAGAATGAGGCCTACTATTGATTTGACTTACTTAATCTTATACATATAGTAATATTAACTTTTAATTTTACATATAGTATAAGGTGTATTTTAAACTTTATAAAATACTAGGTTTGTAATAAATTTCGAAAATTAGAAATTATTTAAATTTAAAAATAAACCAAACAATATTTGACATTAATTATTAGGATCAGCTAATATCCAAATTAATTATTTACACACTTAAAAAATCAATCATATTAATCAATAAATAATTAATCAAGTCAAATATTTATCTCGTAACTTATAGGCTTTTATTTTTTCATCAAATATTCAACAAATTCAAATTTGGAAGGTATTTAAAGCAGGTAATTATCAAATAAAAGTAGATTAGGTAGATAAGCTTCGAAAAAATGATTTTTTTAAGATCTCACCTCGTGAGCATCAATGCTCACGTCGTGAGCATCAATTCTCACCTCGTGAGATACGATAAATTCGAAAATTTTAGTTTTGATCGATTCACCAATATGCAATCACATGATATAGATTTCCATAGACTCTCATACCACTGAAGGGGAATGTAGGTAACAAAACAATGCTCTAAGAGGAAAAATATTTAACAACTAAATGATTAGGGCACATGCAACTTAAGGAGGATCTATGTCTTTTACATAAAGGTAACATACCTTATTTATTGTTGCAGTAAACAATCTAAAATCCTTTCTTCAAAGCTTTTGCCAGTAAGCACCACAAGTGTCGTGCCTCTGATTGTTCACACCCAAGCTAGCAAGAAGAAGATTATGGAGAGAGGAAGGAGGAATAATTTCGGCCTAGGTTTAATCGTAAAAATGATGGCGGAAAATATAAGGACTAGGAGTCCTTATATAGTGCAACAAGGAAACCCTATATAACCCTAAAACCAATATAATAATATTATATTGTTTTTGTAATTATCTAGTTTCCTAATTATCCTCCAAGGATAATTCTAGAACCCTAGAACACTCCCAAAACCGTCCATTGCCTAGGGAGGTTCTAGAATGCCTTTTGCTCAACTATTGAACAATTACACTTTAACCCCCGCACATTTAATTAATTCTATTAATCCCAAAATTAATTCCAATTAATTTATGATTAATTATTAATTAAATAATACTATTTCTTATTAATATATTATTCTCATAATATATTAATAAATTATTTATTTCAATTTATTAATTAAATAATAAATCAACCTCACTCTCCAAAAAATCATATTGTCCAATTGCTAGGTTTGAGGGCAACCCAAAAGGACTGTGCTACCATCAATTCAAGTTTATGCCAATTAAAGTTATGGGCTTAGACACCTAATCCAACATGATATTCCTCTGAATTTACCTATGAAAATTCGTTATGGGATTCCTATTATTAAAAACTATGGGAATCAGTTTTCTGTTACTAGAATTAGACTTATTAATCTCATAGAGTTTTTAGAAAAAAAGTAATGATTCGGGTTTTATGTTTATATTGAACTTTTTGGTTGTATATGTGACCATCATGGTTCATGGTCCAGGTATGGGTACATGCAACCAAAAAATTTTGGAAAATTTTGAAGAAGTGTCTATTAAAGGATTTTGATTGGTGTGGCTTTGTTATTAGTTGTTTAAGTCAGAGAAAAAAATTGTTGAAATTTGAATTAAATGCAAAAGACATCAAGAACCCTCAATATGGTGTTCTGGTTGCATTTCTAGTGGTAATTTTAAATTCTATTCTTTGTTCAATTATTTTTTGTTAAATTAATTGTTGATTATATTTTTTTTCATGTATCTTCATTGCACAAAGACATCTTAATAATCATTAGATAGGGTATATCCTATATCATCTTATTGATCTTCAACAAAAGTTCAAGATAAATTGAAATAAGCATTTAGTAATGGAGGTTATGCAAATGTTGAAGTCATACAAACATATGAAGTATTTGTTGATGGTCCAAAAGTTAAAGATTCAAAAACAGAAACAAGATTATATATATATATTTTTTCATTTTTATGAAATATTTAGTTTTTATAATCTTATTTAGTTGTTTTTAATACTTTAGTATAATAAAAAAAATGGTTTTTATATTTTTAGATGAAGAATATATTAATCTTGCTAATGTTATATGAGAAGAAAAATGAAAAAAAAAAAGATGAAAGATAATGAATAAAACATATCTTTTGTTGTTGTTATGAGGAAAAAAGTGGGCATTATTTTGGGTTTTTAGTGGCACATTTTGTGTGCCACTAAATGACATATTTTTTGTAGTGAAAAATGACTTATCAAGATAATAAACTTTTCGTTTTGTTCATATTTAGATAATTTTTTTTTGTACATATTTAACCATTTAACTTGTTATTTTGTTTATATATTATTATTGTCACCTGTTATAGTCGATGACAATGACAATCTGTAAACACATATACCAAATTAAATGATCAAATATGTATAAAAATAAAGGAGCTGTCTAAATGTGAACAAAACGATAACAATAAAAATGATTACTATGATAAGTTATTTTCTTTCATCCACTACATTTCGAACTTGTAACATAAAGTAACAATTCTCTTATTTAATAAAATGTTTATCATGTGTCACAAGCACATATCGTTGATACACAAATGCGTGAAGGGAAGATCGCTTTACAAGACAAATGTACGCTTCCCTAAACATGCATAATAAAAGTTACCTCTAATATAATATCTTCGAAGTACATATATGCATGAACATGTATCAATGAAGCCCCGTTTAATTGATTACCGGTTTCTCATGAAACTGCCTAGATCCCGCATAATCTTCAGGTACGGGAAAATCAAGTTCCGAGCAAACAAACCGGACTACCTCCGCGGTGGTGAAAGCCATGAAAGACATCTTGTTTACAGTCACAGAAATAGAAAACCGATTATTTATGTCACCATATCCTGTCGAACCACCTAAACCTGCATGACCAAACCCGATCATCAAACCCTCGGTTGATTTAATCCTCTTAAACCCAAGCCCAAATTTCCCATCCGGTAAGGCTAAATCCTTATAATCTCCGGTTCCCAAAAACGCGTCATGAATTTTCGATTTAGGGTTGTTAAAGATTTTAGTCACGGAGGTTGTATGGCTGTTGGTGGTTGAGGAATGGGGTGAAGGGATGGTGCCCCCATCCACAAGGGCGGCATAGTAGCGGGCCAAAGCACGGGCCGAGCAATTTCCATTGGCAGCAGGTACTATAGCACGGCGGCCTTCAACTATGTTGCATAAGTTAACAAGGGCAGGAAGCACCTCCGGCACGAGGGAGGAAGGCATGGCGGCGTAAGGTTGTTTATCGACGGGGGTTGCGGCGGTTGGAGGAGGAGGGTTACTAAATTCACTTGTATCGATCGAAGAAGTTGCCAGACGAGATTCCACATCTGGATTGCACATAAAAATGATAGTTTCTTATCAACTATCAAACTAATTCAAGGTCATAATACATAATACATAAAAGCACTTGTTAAAAACCGGGTAACCGGGAAAATGAGTTTTATTAGAATGGACAAAAAGTATAATGGTCTAATCTGTATAGAAAATAGTTAAGTTGAAAATGGAAAGATGGTGGAAATGCTAATTTAATTAATGAGTTGTGAACGTCAATCTCACTCGGAGGAATCCCTATAAAAAGCTCTCCCTCCAGATTAAGTGGGCGTACAAAAGCTTCCTCAAGAACATCCTTAAACTTCTTCCCGGATGCATGCTGCACGTTAAGAACATATACATCAATGAATAAAGAAATATATGAAATAAGTAACCATTCCCTGCATGTTCAAGTCAAGCAAAAAGAACACAAAGATGTACAAAGGTCCGGTGTGAACACACGACATAACTGAAAAGGACGCAACAGTTAGACTGCGTCTGGTATGCATTGGACTGAAACTGTGACCGATTTGAACAGTTGTTTGAAAAAATTGGAAAAGGTTATAGTTGGACTCGGTTTCTGTCGCGTTAGTGTAAAAGACAAAAAGGTTTCATTCTTATTATTAAAAATAGCAGCACAAAGCTTTTCAGTCCTATCCAAAGTTTTTGGAGAGAGAGAAAAATAAAAGATGGATGTAATAATGATACCTCAATGATCCCACCACATAGCCAACCATATGATAGATAATGATAGAACTGTTCACGACCAGGCTCAGTCTCGGGTGTGGCCATCGCAATGCGTTTTACACACTCATCCCAATCACAAAATGACTCGTGGTCCTCAGTAATGCCAGCAAGAGCATTGTGTAGGCCAGATGTATGATCAAGTACGTGATGAACCTGAGGGAGAAAGGAAAAGTGATGTCGTCTTTGTAGTCGGATGTATAATTACAAAGTTATAGAGAAAATGTACAATGTGATATATAAATGAGGTACTTGTGACATGGCTGGCATAAAACCACATAAAGCCTATACCGGACATCCACAATCAATAAAAACTTTAAATGATTGCTAAACATTTTTTTTTTCATACAACTTTGATCATTTTTAACCAAACATATCTAAAAATAAAATTATATATTTGTTTAACATTTTATATTCATAAAGTTTCATTTTTCTAATCAAATAATTCAGTGACCATATGTTGAAGACCAATATGACATCCAAATATGATTGAGTTTAATTTATTGAATGACAATTAGCTGTTCCACCAAATTAGTTCAACAATTTCATTAAACTATGTAGTATATATGGATGCTCTTCAACTAATTTTAACTTTTATGTTTGAAGATATAGGGTTAGGGTAAACAATTTGCGCACCTTTATCTTATCTTTTCCATTTACAGCAAACTCAGGCCAAAAGTTTGCGATATTATCGTCAAGTTTCAGTATCCTAAAATGAAAGTACATACTTTATTACTTTTATTTCCCTTCATTCCATAATGAGATACCACGTATAGCTCCCCTTATGGGTGTTAACAATATCAAATTGACGAAAATACCCCTTATCAGCCAGCCAATGTATCATTCCAGCCGTGACTCCCTTAGTTACAGAGAAAACTGGAAATAAGGTATCAGGCTGAACTGGACGAGGGTCCTCTTTTCCCATGACTCCAGCTGCAGTATCAATTATCACTTTCCCATCTTTGTAAGCACAAACCTAAGAAACATAATAATCAAAGCTTTTGTAAAACACAATCACAAAACGTACAATTCTGTGAGTGTAATCCAGATTTTTATAACACGTTTCTAATTTATATGCTTTCATTATTAGGAATTCTGAATAAGTCAAAGCCATGTGGGCAACTGCCTAATGGTCCCTTGTTCTCAAGTAAATAGGTAATTTGTTTCTTCTTTTTAGGTACTTTTCTAGTTTAAATAGATAGGCAAAGTGTACTTTTTTATGCCCTTTTCCAGATTTCAAGAATAAAAGTACAAAACTTTGCCCCACGTGTGTATGTTATTTCTTTACTTCCTGTTATCAAACCTCCTTAATCTAGCTCATAACATCTGTAAAAGCCAACAAATTCAAGTGTATTTGTGCTCCTACAATTGACATGTAACACAAAGACTAATTCAAGCTTACTAAGTCTTTAATACCCACCAAAACTAAGTAAAAGTTATATACTAAACTAATTATATTGGAGTAGTGGTATGCACCTGGATTCCAAGTATTCTATCAGCATTCGCTAATTCAATCAAGAGGCGCCTCAGTTTGGCTTCTACATCAGAATGGATTGGACTTTCACATAACCATTTTGTATCTGTGGATGTTGCGTTATTCATGTTGCTGAAACAAAAATAGCTAGCTAAATAGGGTACGCATGTATACATGAGCAGGTGTGAATAAATTAAGGATCAATAAGAACAGAACAATATCATACCTTTAGAAAACAAATTCAGGAAAAGGACAGATGATATGTAGATAGCTTATGCTATTGCTGATGGAGAATGATCATAAGACGGAAATGATGTGAAATACTTATATTAAAGAATCATCTTTCCAATACAGTTGGGAAAGAAATGAAGTTAGGGATTAAAACGTTTAACTTCTTTCTTGTAAGTTCCATCTTTTCTTGTAGAACTTTGGGATATTTTGCTTTTTGCTCTCTGACAAAGGTTTCATGGTTTCCTAAAACCAAAAGAATCTTCGGCATTTAATAACGTATTGTACTTTTCATTCTATCTTTATACTTTATATAATAATAGTAATTTTAATTTATTTATAACATAAACATTGGGCATAATAAAACTAAATAAGAATATAATAAAATATATATGTTTAATAATTTATAAAAATAACATTTAAATTTTATTAAAATTATGATAGTCCACTTTCAGCTGCCAGCATGCCAAACCAAAAAGTCTGGATATAACAATGTGAGTGGGGCAACGATGTTGATACAAATATATCGAAGCTGGTCAATATTAATATATGCATTATATTTGGACTAGAAGGTAACAATTTGGATAAATGATTTACAAATATTTGAGCAAATTATGATGGCATATATGAAAAAAAAAGTTGATAAGTTATTGTCCAATCAACTATTAGATTTATATTGAATATCGAACAGTTCCTAATCGTTTTTATAGATAGCGCAGGTAACTAAATACCTTGTTGGTGAACAGTTACTTAAATTGATAGTATTTTTTTTTACGGTTGTATGTGACTTGGCAAAAAAGACGATGTCACTGTCCATATAGCATTGTCATCACTTGTTTATTTTTATTTTTGTATTATTTTACTTATTATTAATTATATTGTTCTATTATTACCATCGATGCAAAAAGGAAATTTTGGTATCCGATTATCCCAACAACGAGACCACAAGTCCAGTCAACAACCAGAGACCATGTTTTTTGTGATGTAAATAAGAACCAATAAACATGTAAGAAAACCGACAAATAATATTAAAAATTATAGTTGCAAATAATTAATCAAATTATAATTAATATGGTTACCAAGTTTCCAGAAACAAAGATCAATCATTCTCTCGATTAGATCGGATTATAAGAAATGTAGAAAAAGAGTGTCCTGCTATTAGACGAAAGTAAACGCAACACAGTAAAGTAAAACCAACCTATTGACACCTGATCGTGATCTCAGAGAACTGTACGGATCAGACTTCTGTCCTTAAAAGGTTTTTACTTCGCTTCTATCTGCTGTAAACAACAGAGTAAAATCCCAGGATTTAATGCAGATATACCGACTTTCTAGCAACAATGGAAAACGATAAACGCAAAGTGAATACTGAGAAACCGGGAAGAAATCGCCAAGAATACTAAGAGAGCCTTGAATTTTCTTGTGTAGAATACGACTCCATGGGAGCAGTCTTTATAGGTGTTGAAACCCTAGAATGCAGAAAAGGGCCCTTATAGGCTGACCCATAGAAACCTTAGGGGGACGACTTGCTCTCTAAGCAAGCCCTTATGTAAGCCTTCTAGAACATTCGGTCATTATATCTATGATATGACCCTATTTTTTTTTTTTTTTTAAATATTATATTTTTAAATATATGATATATAATATGCTTGAAAATATTCAATTACTGTTAAAATGGATGTTGAGATGCAAAAGAAGGAGAACAGAGCTGAAATAGACACAAAAAGGATGTTGTTGGTAGCTTTACCCCCTCGTCATTGTTTTGACTATATCTCATGACTCGTCACTACGATTAAACCGATGAAAAATGATCTAAAAACTAGACAAAATTTCGGACGAATTTCGTGTTTTGAGAAAATGTTTATTCCTAGTCACCACGATGTGGTGATCACCATGACGACGTGGTGAGTGGAAACTTCACGATCATTGAGCTAATTTGGAGAATACTAGATATCTATGAAGAGCGCGACGTGGTGCCTCTTAAGCACGTTGTGGTGGCCAGAATTCGGCAAGTATATATATTCCAGAAATTAGGTCGTTTCCAGGAGGTGGAGGCCTTATGGAGGCGATTATTCACGAGGAAAACCCCTCCAAGGGTCGATTTTGAAGTTGTAGATTCAATTGGAGCAAGGATTTGAAGATTCAAGCGCTACTGCATCGAGATTTCACTTCGGGTTTGCTTGATGATTGCGTCTTGCATTGTTTTGGTGATGTTTTTCTACTTTAGTTTACTGAATATGGTGTAAAAACCTTTATCTTCACTAGACATTGATGAACCCTTCTTGATATGCTTTAATTTCGTTAGTAGGATTAACTGAATCTAGTTTTTACTTGTGTTCGATTGATTGTGTTACATTTCATGTTAAAGTTATGATTTTTATTGTTTATTGATGAGTATTATTAGGATTAGATGATCATTCTATCTTGATGTACTTGAATCAAATGAATCTATGATCATTATGTTTGTCTGACTATGATTTTGATCATAAGCTTAGGGTTAGCTAATATTAATCGGTAACTTTAACTGTGTTAGAGAGCATAGATATCTATGTTATGCTTAGATTTATTGTCATGATAATTGACAAGGAATCACTAGATCATATCGCTCATAGTTCGAATATATTTAATTAATTATGTGTTCACTAATTGCATGATCATTGTGTTAGTTGGTCATTAATTAATAGTACTACGAAATCCAATCAAGATAAGTAGTCATATTATAATTTGGTACTCAATTCACTAATCCATTGCACTTATGATAAATCAAACATAAAAAATTGGGGGATTCGTATTCTAGTGGGAGTACTTATTATTTATTGTTTTCATTTAGTTCTTTAGTTTCGTTGATTAATTCAGAGTTAAATTTTGTTTAATTTAGTTCACACAAAAACCAACTTTTACTTTACTATTATTAATTTTATTAATATTTGAATCATTTGATCTAAATCATCACGTTCCATGTGTCCGACACTCTTTCTTACTATAATTATATTACTTCACGACTAGATACAATGCCTATTTGTGTTTAAGACTAGTTGAGATTAGATATGACTTTATAAATTTAAAACTAGTGTATTAATTAACACATCATGTTTTTGGCACCGTTTTCAGGGAATGGTTGCGTTTAGTTTAGATTTTTTATTTGTTGATTAAAATTTCTTTATAGTTTAGTTCTTGGTTTTGAGTTTTTAGTTTTTATTTAAATGTATATGATTGATGCTATTCTTGAGCATGAGTTGCAGGAATTTGATGATCTATTCGATCCACAAAACGATTTGGAGGATCTCGAGAGGTTGCTAGCAGAAGACTCGGACGAAGAACAAGAACAAGTTGAAATGCAGGAAACACGTCATGGTGTGATCATTACCACGATGCAGACCCCTGTTTTTTCGGTTTGGATTTTGAAGCATGGGATGACGATTCCAACTTTAGAGAAAGTTCTGATGTGCGGTCCATTCCTGATGAGTGTTTAACCAATTCCAACCCTTTTCAACATTCATGGATTTTATGGATTCAAGCTCAGCAGGCCGATTTTCGAAACAAAACGTCAAATTTTATGAATCGGTCCAAAAGGAGTATTAAGTGCAACTGATGGATTGGCATCAATTTTATTAGAAGTTTATTAAGGTGAGAGTCCAGCTCAAGACTCGCACAAAAAGAAGCGCTTATCGGGAGGCAACCCGACTTTTAAATTAGTTTGCATTTTCTTTTCGTTTTAGTTTTTATTTTTTAGTTTTAATTTTATTTTTGAATAAAAGTGCTTTTGATTATTCTAATTTTTGTTGCAAGAAAACTTTTAGATAAGAAATTGTTGATGGGCACAAATGCAAGCGCGGGGTGGAGTATTACGAGAAGAAGGCAAGAAGTGTGACACACAAATAAGTGTAGGGTATACATTCGACATGGAGCTAAAACCGAGGAGTCTTTTGTGCTACTAATGCTACATATGGGAATAAATTGATACGAGGGACCGGTCAAGAAATAAATACTTCGAGACTAGTCGATTCATTCAGTGATGAAGAATTTAGATTTTTCACGAAGACGCGAAGCGAGCCTAGCTACCTCGTGATGCGAGTTTTTATCGTGACTATTGTCCTTAAATTTGAAGACATCGACTATAACATCCCAAAAATACAGATACAACTTTTGTTTTTAAATTCATTCAATTCATAAGAAACTAATATCAAAATAGTCGAAATAGTATAATTTGTAACATGTTATCAGAGTACAAATTCCCAAAATCATTAAGTGTGGAAAAACATAGAGTGATGTGGTGCAATCAAACTGAGCACTTCCCCTTCGAACTGGAAGTACCTGAAACAGAAGCTGAAAATTGTAAGCACAAAGCTTAATAAGTTCCCCCAAAATACCACATGCTAAACAAACATACTGTCAAACATATCTGGGTGTTTGTATACCCCTTCGGACTATTTCAACCGGATACTGCCAAGCATTCTGGGTGCTTGCCTACCCCTTCAGTATATTTCAACCGGATACTATCAAGTAGGGTGCTTGCAATCCCCTTCGGTCTATTTCAACTAGATACCGGGTCTATTTCACCCCCACTACTACCACATAATATCATAACCGAAATCATAGAGTCATCAAGCAAATACAGGCATAACTGATAATTGTCACAAAGATAATCATCACACTACAACATAAACTAGTGGCCCGACCTTGGTGCGTTCGACCCACTGATATTGCGAAGGAAGACTCACCTCAGACTGTAGGTATCAAATCCCACTCAGCGGGTTACTCGCGAACTCTTCTCCCTATCGCACAAGCATAAAACCCTAATTAGAAATTAGGTCACATTCTAACCCGAAAGTCCAAAACCCTAATTCTTGGCTTAAGGCAAAAGGGCTCCTCTACCTTTGCCTAATTGGGCCTCATTTCCTCCAAGGCCCAAATCCATAAACACCCAAAAGGCATCCAATCCCACTATAAGGCGTCTAAGGCCCAATATGCCCCAAGAACCCTAAACATGGCCTTAGGCCCAAAAATGACCAGCTACAATCAAGTGGGCCCGAAACCCAACTTACTCAAGTCCAAAGCCCAACATCAAACGAGCCTAAAAATCTTCTAGGCCCACTGGCTGCATACACGTAGCATACTTGGCTTGTACGCCCAACGTACGTTGGTATTGACCAGGAGTCGAGATGCTGACGTAGTACGCGCATCGTACACTGGAGTACACATAACGTACTAGTCTTCCAACCCAAACTCACTACCATGACTTAATCCATTAAGTCCTAATGTCCAAAACTTAAATGCAAGTCCCTAATAACGTCTTAAGCC